AAGTCGATTTCATTTGTAGGTAAAAGTCACAATAGAAAAGATAAACAATTAATTAATTTTAAGTGTGAAAGTAAATACGAATACCTTTAAGATAATTTATGGATTGTTTGAGTTCGTTCGCTTTAAAATATATATATTTTTTTAATTTTGTAAAATGACCCATTTCAAAAAGATAATAAAATATGTGTTATTTTTCAATACGAATTATTTGTATTAATATTAAAAAAATTATTAAATTATTTTATTTTTTACTTTAGAAGCATATGAAATATGTTTAAGCCCATTGTTTAAATAAATCTAAGGTTTTTACAAGACAAAATTTGTATTTTCTTTCAAAGTAGCCTGACAGGCGAACGTTAGTATTAAAGGAATAAAAAATAAGGTTAGTATTCTAGGGTTAAGATTCTCGTTAATTTCTTCATGATCCGATGATCGGATTTAAACCAAATTAATATGGGACCACCTTGTTACCTCACCTTTCCTTAAAAAAATAATAATAATTATAAAAATCGGTTAACGTGGTCCAAATTATGCGGTAACATACATAAAAAAAAGAAAAAAGAAAATATTCGGACGGATTGGTAACCTTTCTCCTTTTTGTAAAGTCGGTTAAAAATTTCTAACATAGGTATGCAAAAAACTGGAAGTCGACTTGTACAGACCGCCCTTCGTTAAACAATTAACATAAGTATAATTTTCAGGGACCGTAACAGTTGCAGCTTTTATTAAACAAACCGTTCTTTAACAATTATTTCTGACTTTTATTTAATTACTCCTTAAAAAACAGTTTTCTTTGATTTTTATTTTATAAATCTAAAATAACAATTAGTTTTAATTTTTATATAAATAATCTGCAAATAACAGTTATTTTTTATTTTTAAATTACATATCTTGGATAACAGTTATTAAAGACTTTTATTTATAAAAGTCATCAATATAAATCAATCACTGACTTATTTTTAAAATCATACTTATAAGTCATTTGTTTTCTTAGTAAACTTTGGTTCTCCAACACCTTCTTAACCGTGAAAAATTATAATGACTTTTATACGTATGACTTAAAAAATAAAAGTCGGTGACTGGTTTTTTTTAATGACTTTTTTAAATAAAAGGCTTCAATAACTGTTATCTAAGACATTTAATATAAAAATCAAAAATAACTGCTATTGACATATTATTTGGATAAAAATTAAAAAATAATTGTTATTTTAGATATATAAAAGAAAAATCAAAAATTATTATTTTTTTTTAATTGTGCATAAATAAAATTAAAATTTATTTTCAAATTTGATTCTCGGTGAAAAAAGATTTAGTGCCGATTACTTAACCGCAGGGACCGAGAAAGCGCTCCGGTTATGGTTTAGTTCTGTGCGAAAACAAAATGAATTGTCAAGAACGTGTCCGCATAAGAACCAAACGGGAACAAAAGGATTGAGAGCATTTTGAGCGGGGAAAAAATGAGAACAAAAGGTTCGCGAACAAAACTCTCAGCAATGTCCTGAACAAGAACAGAATGAGAACGAAGTTTTTGTGAACACTTCCAATGAGAAGGAAATCAGAACAAAAGTATCGAGAAAGTTTTCAAATAAGAACATAAGTCTGTGGAACGTTCTGCTAGAGAACAAATCGAGATCAAAAGTGTTGCGAACTTAACGTTAAGAATGAAAGTGACGTCTGGTTATAGAAATAAAAACTAAGCAACTCAGTAAGTAAAGACTCTTTAAGGCTGAGTTTTGTCGTCGAAAGTAAGGATGTTATAGCTACTTTCAAATAAATATTTAAACGGTATTTCCTTTTTGGTTGTTGTTGTTTCCGACAGGGTGTGTGTATGATGTATTATGGAACGAATTTCCGTCATCCCTTGTCAAATTTGGTTTGGAGACAAACCGGTTTCGGCGTTGTGCCATCTTCAGTGTCATTTTTCGTTCTGCATAATTTTTGTTGGTTGCTCGTATTTATACTCCTTGTTATCTACCTCTTTCTTTTGTTAGGTACGTCTTTTTAGTTTTGCAGTGTTTGCGGTACTCAATAGGTAGATGAATTGTTTTGGCTCGTTTTTGACGGCAGGTAGAAGTCCGTGATTTTAACCCCCTTTGTTTTTGCACACTGTACAAGAAGAAGAATGACAACAACAAAATATTAAGGACAGATATGGAAGGGAATACACCAACTGCACAAACAAAGGGGGTTAAAATCACGGACTTCTACCTGCCGTCAAAAACGAGCCAAAACAATTCATCTACCTAATGAGTACCGCAAACACTGCAAAACTAAAAAGACGTACCTAACAAAAGAAAGAGGTAGATAACAAGGAGTATAAATACGAGCAACCAACAAAAATTATGCAGAACGAAAAATTACACTGAAGATGGCACAACGCCGAAACCGGTTTGTCTCCAAACCAAATTTGACAAGGGATGACGGAAATTCGTTCCATAATACATCATTTAAACGGTACTTAAGTTTAATTGTGGATTGTTGTTTAAATGCCATTTAGCTTTCGTTGGGTTTCAGAGCAACTTTGTTTAAATATGCCAAACAATTGGCAGCACTGCTGCTTATTCCTTGAAATCGTTGTTGCATTTGCATGTTTGTTTACATTTTCTGCTGAACAGTGATTGTTATAGGTGGGATTGATTAACCTACCAATCAATCTTGGTTGTTTGCTGAACAGTGATTGTTATAGGTGGGATTGATTAAACAACCTACCAATCAATCTTGGTTGTTTGGTATAAACACAGGGTTGAATATCTCATACTTAAATAGCAAAATTGGCTATTTAAGTGCAGACTAAATGTATGATCTGAAAAGGAATAGTGGAAATTAATCAACAATCTCTATCTAAGTAGGCCATCTGAAATCGGGCCTAACAGTTGCTAAATTTGAAAACTTNAATATCTCATACTTAAATAGCAAAATTGGCTATTTAAGTGCAGACTAAATGTATGATCTGAAAAGGAATAGTGGAAATTAATCAACAATCTCTATCTAAGTAGGCCATCTGAAATCGGGCCTAACAGTTGCTAAATTTGAAAACTTTCAAATTCATTATTTCAGGCTTTCAACACATACTCCTACAATAGTTATCTACCCTTTCGCTAGTTTTATGAATGCATGCAAACAACGAGTTAGGCATCATGTTATCCAAAATGTGCGTGTTGATCTTGTCACGCAAACGAAGGGACCCAAGGTTCTAGGTCGCCTCCGAATTGCAAGCGATCAGAGGTTTGGAAATGCGACGACCACAGGTCGGGAATTGCGTAGAGCAACATTTGCTGGAACTTTATGTGGGATCTGGATGACAGTCTTCCTAAAATAATTTTGAAAAATTTATTGAAATAGTAACTCTTCTGACTATGAATTTTTGAGGAAAATTATCCTTCTTGACTATTTTAATAAAAATATTTAACAAAACGAAGAAAAGTTTAACATTTTAAGAGGCAATTTTGCTTAAATTTAAGCAAAACGGCAACGCTGGTTCCACAGGGTGTTGTTCTAATATAATTCCCGTTGAGAACGTTCCCGACAGTTTTTTTCTCCCTTTCGATCTTGTGAAAACACTCGTTTCGGTTTGGGGTTTTAAGCGTTCTTGGGAGCAAAACTACAAGACCCGATCATACCTTTTGCTCTCGGTCCCTGCTTTACCGGAGCTCCTCAGAATGGTCAATTCAGTGTGTCGGGTATTATTCAATACATTGGAGTATTTTTCATGCTTTGAATATCTTGAGTGCTCTTCTAACGTAGATTTGCGATAGTTAGTGCCTGTATTTTCTAAAAAATTAATGTAAGAATTTATGCCAAGCTTTGGAAAAAGAACCTATTCCAAAATTATTTTTTGTTATAGTTAAAAGTTTTTGATATCCTTTGGATCTGTTGTTCCATATTAATAATAGTACATTTATGTATCACTAATTTATGAAATGTCTTCACACCAACATTCACTAGAATAGTATGGTGAAAAATAAAGGAAAATATAAAAATTAAGTTCTTAAGAACTTTCCATATAAAGTGGGCATCATAACCACCCCAATATGTTTAGTCCAACTCTGTAAATCTAGATATTTTGATTGGCGTGTAAAACGACTTGCATGCAAAGTATAGAAGAAAGTAACTTTTTATTGCTGCGTGAATCACATACTTGCCAATTGAGTGAAGTATTCTTGCTGAATACTTTTCATTCGATGTTTTGGGATTTTTTTGCTACTAATGACATCATAAGAATTGTTCGGCTGCCAAGAGGATTTCCACAAGTAATTATAAGTTCCACGTGCATGACCTAATCAACCTAAAGGCTTTCCGATTTATTGATTAAACACCAACATTCGACCTTTACGCAGCAGTTACTTGTCGATGAACGACGTTCTTGATTTCACAACTTGCTGTTAGTAAAAACATATTTTGCAATCATTCAAATAACTTGCAGCCGGCTTATCGATTTGCCTATCAAAAAAAGCTTTATATCAGTATGGAAATGCAATGCTCACCTGCGCGCATACATTAGTTTGTAAATTGTATGTATGTATGTACATATGTTTGCGTCATGTGGAATGCAATATTGTAAAAAATTTGCAAACATCGTCTTTACACAAATGTATTCCTAACCGTAGATATGGTTGTTATAAATTGTATTAATAAAACCGGTTTGCCTATTAACAATTTTGCTCTCATGTCTTTCATTCACAGTTTTGTAGTTCGTGTATATACGCATGTATGTACATCCTAGGTACATACGTACATAAGTATATGTTTACAAATGCACACATGCTTCAGTTTTCTCCAGATCCTACTTTTTACTGTTTCCGCTAATTTATAGCGACTCAATTAGTACATAGTCACATTTAAAATCATCAAGCAGTATTCCCGTCACATGTTTCAGTATAATTCTACAATTACGTTGGTGACAATGTATTCGTTCGTTATGCATATGTATGTAGATCAAACTTTTATGATGAAAAAATCGATATGCAATGAAAACACTGCGAAACAAAGATATGACTAACCTTTAAATTGCCTATCAACTCCATAAATTGTAGGATTTGTCCCAGTCCTGTATTGAAACATGGTTTATCGGATGAGTTTTTCCGTTCATTGCCATTGCAACAACTACCATTCGAGCTGCTTGCATCCTGAGACGGATGTTGTCCATTTGTAGTGGCTCCAGTCTGATCAGCCTGTTTTAGAGCTTTGGGTTCAGCAGCCAAAGATGACATTGTGTTATATTGTGTTTGTTTATTTTTCAAACTTTTATTGTTTTGGGTATGGAAATGATGCAGATGCTGCTGATAGAATTTATGTATCTGTTGGGACTGTGTTGTTGTAGTATAAATAAGTGATGTTGTGTAATTCGAAGCTTGCGCGCTTGTCGACGTCGTCTTCAATGAATTCACGGCAATTTGGTATTCCGGACCAGCAGTGACACCACCGTTTTCAATCGCAGGCGAATCAAGACTGACGCTACGTTGTCGACCAACTTGACAGTTGACTTCGTGTACTTGTGAATGCTGCCTTTGTTCTAGTTGATATGATTGCTCTTTTTGTTGTTGTGGTTGACTAGAATTGGTGGCCAGCAACAGCTGTTGCTCATGCTCTCGCTTAAGTTTTCGGGGTTGTTTTGGTGATATCATTGCATCGTTTAGCGTTGGTAGTGACGTTACAATGGTTGGTCCAAATTCAGCTGCACCTTCGGCTGTTTGGCGAGTGGGTGATACTGACGCCGACATTCCTAATACTACATTTCTTGTAGTATTGGTTGCTGAAGCAACGACGGCAACTCGTTTGAGGTTTTCTTTTATCAAATCTCGGCCATTATTGCTAGCGCAGCTGTTTTGCAGTTTGCGGAGAGCTTTGATCAGTTGCTGAATGGAGAGCATTTTCGAGAAGTAGCTGAAAATATAAATGAAAATAGAGATTAATGAACCGATTGTATTTGTATGCATGAACGAACGACTACAGTAGTTGGTTTCCGTAACTCTTCTCTACCGATTATTTCACTACTGGTAGAGAATATACGTCATTCTCTACTACTCATTAGCAGTAGAGAACAGGGCGGCGAATTCATATCTCAATTCGCCTTGGTAGAGAATTGTTACAGAAACGAGCTACAGATCACCTAATCAGCCATCGTTGTATTTGTAATCGATTTTCAAACTAAAGTTTTCGTAGCGTTTTTGATGTTTTTTGGCTTTATTTACAACGTCTCCTACCTCTTCGTAGTGGTTTTTAGCGATTTGATGTGTTTTCTGCAGCGATTTTAGTTACACTGCCGGAACAAAGTATTGGCACAGCAAATTTTTCACAATATATGCAACAATTTTTATTCTAGCATATTTCCGCCAATTTTTTATAAAAATATGGTTCGTTCTACAACAAAAAACATAAAAATGTAATTCCCAAACGTTGTGCAAAACTCGCAAAAATTTAACAAATTTTCATGCAATTTTCACCTTTTTAATCAGATTTTTTGGAATTTTTTGTGTATGCAGATTTGTAGACTAGGAATTACAGTTGATTTTTGTTAATTAATCCACGCAGTCTCTTCCATACAAAAAATTTTTTGTTTCGAAAATACTATATGCAAAACACCTTAAACAAAAAAATTCTCAAAAATCAATACGATTTTTGACTAACTCCCAATTTGCATTTTTTTTACTGGAATTTAATGGGCTGCAAAACTGCATACTCTAAAAAATCTAGAAAATCTGGTTAAAGGGTTTAAAATTTGCATGAAAATTTGCTATTTTACGAGTTTTTCACAAAGTTTAGAAATTTATTTTTGTGTTTTGTTGTTGTAGAATGAACCATAATTGCATACCAAATTGGCGGAAAAATATTAGAATAAAAATCATTTCATATATTGTGAAAAATTTGCTGTGCCAATACTTTGTTCCGGCAGTGTATAAATTTTGATTTATTAAAAATATTTGATATAAAAGAAGTGCTTTGTGAATTTAACAAGTTTGTGCGTTGGTTTGGTTTGCCGAGAGGAGTAAATTTGCATGAAAAGCGGGTGCACTTTTGGTCAGAACTTTGGCATTGAAAAATGGAACTGTGCGGATGCTACGTGGTTGCAAAACACTTTCTATCACTATATTTTATGAACACCTTTGGCTCCTTTTTATTCAGTTTCAGTTATTATATTTTATGATAAATGCCAATACCACCACGGCAGATGTGAAAAACGCTCAGAAATATGTATGTATACTTTTTTCTTGCTTCTTTGAATAGGTGATCTTGTTTTGTTGGTTCATGATTTGTATGTGCATATGTATGTACTAGGGTAGCCAACTTATTTTTGAGAAATCCCCGATTTCGACAATGAAATTCCCAGATTTTGCCCCAAATTTCGTAGAATTCCTCTCCCATAGATATCTGCTTATTTACAAAAAAAATTTTGAATGTATTTGTACATACTTCTGGGCTTTCTGTTTATTTTATTTTGAAATGTAATACAGCTTTACATTTATAAACCCAACCAAACTTTTATTAAGTTAGTTAACAAATAAAAAATAAGAAATGTACATTTAATATTTACATACATACATACATACAGTTGTCGAAAAAATTTAGTCGCACAATTTTTCACAATTATTTTTTTGGTTATTTAATATGAGTTTTTTTTATAAAAAAATATAGTTCATTCTTTAACAAAACCCTTATAAATCCAAGATTCATACTTTGCGCAATATTGAAAAAAATCAACAAAACGGCAAAAATAGAAATGCAAATGACAATTTGTAAATAGTGCTTGAAATCAGTGAAACAAAAAAGAAAAAAATATGTTAACACCTAATTCCTCACAAAAAAAAACAGTCCATCCACTGATTCCCCACGTAAACTGAAATTCCCCACAAAAAACGGTCCGTTCCCCAATTCCCCACGCAAACTGAAATCGGGGAATTTCGCACGAGTTGGCTACCCTGGTATGTACGTAGAGTGATAAGATTTTCGCCAGGCAGTGAAATACATGCATATGTATGTGTATGTATAATTACGGTGACCATTCGTACCGATTGAATCCCGATTTTTAGTATTTTCTTAATTAATTTAATAAGAGACTCCTTGTACTCTGGCCCAAAAAAAAAAGGTTTCGTATAAACGTGCAGCATTTTGGTTACCATAAAGGACATAGAACATAAACATAGCCAGAATCCTTATTTTCTATGAATTTCATTATATTTTATTCTGTCAAACTGATACTCTCGCCATATCATTCTTGTCTAATTTCTAATTGACAAAAAATCGTCAAAAATCAACGGTAAATCGAAATTACTTCAAACTTGCACTTCACAAATTTACTAAAGTTTAATGGGCTACAAAACTGCATACTCAAAACAATTATAGAAAATCTAATTAAAATCTTTAAAATTTTTATCAACATTTGTTACAATTCGTCGAATTTTTATAAATACTTTAAAAAGTTTGAAATTTTGATTTAAGAAAAAGCTTAAATAGTAAGTTATATTTTCAAAAAAAAAAACAATAAACATTTGTTAAACAAAAAAAGTAGCCAAAACTTGCTCAAATGCCTTTTCCCAATTTACATTCTCGCCACCGTGGCGGCTCTTTGAGCCAAATGCGGCCCTTTGCCATGGATAACTAGATATGAAACTCTCTCATTTTTTTTGAGAGTGCGCCCAGGAACTCGTTTTCGTACTTGGCAGCACTGCCAATCCCTGGGCAGATAAACAGCTGACACGCGAAGTGGCGAGCTACCACTAAATGTGTGGAAAATCCATCACATTGAATTCAGTGGATTTCTTCTTCCCGCATTTTTTAATATTACTATAAAACAGTATTTGTAACTAAACACAATTTTCCTGGCAATATAAACAGTGAAATATCAAATAGATATGAAGAATATTGCAACTTTTGTTCGTTGTGTTGAATCAAAAGTTTCTCCATAAATTTCTCTATAAATGCCCATACATGTTTTCGTCACAGTGGCTCTACTGGAGAATTTTATAAAAAATACACACTTTGACAGCGCTCTCACGAGAAAAAGAGTTTCATATCTAGCTATCCATGCCTTTGCTTAGCAAAGTGCGGCTCTTTTTACTTTCTCTTTGCTTAGAACATTTTGGCTCTTTTTACTTTTTAAAATCTATATTTCTTTTTTCGACATTCTTTTCCATTGTGTTGTTTTTTTTTATTTTATTCCTTTTATATCGACATACGCAAATTGAGATCGGAATATTACCAGCAATTGGGGAATGAAAATTGGCTTTCTGACTTAATGTTCTTTACCGATATGATATGATGGAACATTCGCAAAACTTGTATTTGCCTCTACAAGGAGAGAATAAAAATGTTTTTGATTTGTCGAAAAATATTTTAAGTTTTAAAGCTAAACTACTTCTTTTTATTCATATTCTCATAAAAAGAATATTACATCATTTTCCATGGCTAGAAAAAAATATTGCACATGATTCAAAGCAGATGTTGAAAAAATATTTGAAATTATTTAAATATACGTTTGCATACTTCATAAACCCTCTTTTATGTAACATAATTGAGGATGAATTTACAATATCCGAAATACTCCTCTTTTAGAAAAGTGAAGAAGAGTTGGAGTTTTTGGAATTAAAAGAAGATAAGGCACTGGAATGCAACATAAAGCTTTGTCATTGCTTGAATTCCGGCAACAAGTACCAGATTTAAAATATCCGCTTCTGAAAACAGCTACGTGCCGTATATTTAAAATTTTTGGTACAGCATATAACTGTGAGTCTTTGTACTCTTCAGTGAAATTCGTAAAGTCAAAACACCGTTCACAATTAATTGCATTCGCGTACGTGATAATTATTGAAAGTTATAAAAACCATCAGCTTTTTGTGTTCGCATATGCAAAAAACTTGTAAAGTAGGGGATATTGAGAGAGAAAAATGGCATTTTATTTTGAGGGAAAGCTGCTAGTTTCTGCTGGAAAAATTTTTACGAATAGCGATTTGCCAACAAGAAATCAGCTGTTCAAAAACAGCTGGTTGGAATTTACGCAAATCCCTGAATTGAATTGAATTTGCATTGATGGTTTGGAAGTTAAAATAGTAAAATGCGACTAATTAAACTTGTGAAAAGTACATAAGTAATTATTCGTTTAGTCAGTGACCTGTGTCAGGATAAGACTTCGAAATTCTTATAGGCAATATAGACGGTGCGTCTGACTCGCGAGTCAACTGTGTACGTATTGACTCGCCTTTCGACTACACACAGTTGAGTCATTCAGAGTCATACCAGAGTCATGTCGGTGTAACTAACACATATTTATTTTTACTTAACACATCTAAATCGACTCGCGAATCAGACGCACCGTGTTGCCGCCTATTACGTTTTAAATTTTATACTTTTGAATGTAAACAAAATTTCTATCAGCTGCTCGTCTAACTTGCAAGATTCTGAAAATTTTCTGTGCGCGTAGTATTTTCCCTGCAAAAATCGCGACTACTTCATGCATGCATGTAAAGAGTACTCCCTAAGGGCCACGGAGTACTCCAAAATTAACCACAATTCATATAAAAAATATGGTCCAACTAACATTGCGATGTCCTAGGGCAGGACCATATACTCCATCTCTGCATTACATCAGAGTAGCACAAAACTACTCCAACATATTAACAATGACGTTGTTGGTTTGCTTTTTCGTTTGTACACGCTTTTGTTCTTCATTTGATGCTTTTTCGCAATTAATAAAAACCAAAAACAAAAATAAAAAATTACATGTTGCCTCTTTCGGTATTTGAACCCGAACATGCTGTGAGCTAACAACTAACAGCGAGCATCTCTACACGTTCAGCTACAGCCAGACATGAAAATGTGCTTTCAAATGCTCAACTTCAATCACATTTCGTTAAAACACGAGCAGTGATCGGGGTACCAATAAAATGGTGCAGAGACACGAGTTGGTCCGCTACAGCATGATAGAGGAGCATTTTTGTAAGTACTCCAAAATACCACAAATAGATCACATGGTCCAACGATTTTTGCAGGGTTGGATATTTTTCTCTTGCGAGAGGACAGATGACATTTCGCCGGACATTTTTTACTGGAAATTTTAAACGACGTACTTATTGACTAACCAACATTTAACAGAACGGTTACGAACGGGTTTAACTGACGTAAAAGCAGATATTGAAAATTTGGCCAAAGGGATCTTTTAAATTTTCTTTAAATTAACTAAAATTAATGTTTTTTATTTCTAATAATAATCTCATTTGAAAATAAAAGTTTTGTTTTTGTGGTTTTTTTTG